CTGGTGGAGAAAGAATGGAACATTCACCGTTCTCCATAGAAAGCACAGGTTAGCCAGCCAGGCAATCTAATCACTTCTCGAATGAACCCCTCCAGTCCATTACAAACACTATTTTTTTCTGATCAGAACAATCCATTAAATGCTGCTCTGCCTGGATTTTCGCCTTTACTAGAGTAATCGGAATTGTAATGTTCTGAAAGGATATTTTAAAAGTTCCAATCCTCATAGAAAATGCCGTAGGAGCAAATCCCGCTTGCCTTTCTCATATGACTTCCAAGGGGCTACTCATGTGAAGAAGGCAAGCAGGATTTGGGTTTATTGTATTATAACAAAAACAAAACCAAGTAGGAATTCCATAAGGACCAGAGAAAAACACAGTTGTTTCCCAGCCTGAAAGAAAGATGGCTTTGTGGATAAGGCACTGCACAGGCACACAAATTTGGGATCAGTGCCGGTCTCTGCCACAGACGTCCTGTGTAATCTTGGGCACGTCACGTCACCTATGCGTACCTCGGTTTCTCCGTCTGTAAAATGGGGCTAATGATATTCACTGCCATTGAAGCGCTCTGAGCTCTACTGATGAAAAGTGCTGTAGAAGAGCAGCTGTAAAATGGGGCCCATAGTTCTTCTTTAGTCATAAGAATGACCATACTGGGTCACATCAAAGGTCTATCTAGCCCAGTGGTTCTCAAACTTTTCTACTGGTGACCCCTTTCAAATAGCAAGCCTCGAAGGGCAACCCCCCTTCTAAATTAAAAACACTTTTTAATGTATTTAACACCATTGTAAATGCTGGATGCAAAGCGGGGTTTGGGGTGGAGGCTGACAGCTCACGACTCCATGTAATAACCTCGTGATCCCCTGAGGGATCCTGACCCCCAGTTTAAAAACCCCTGATCTAGCCCATCCTGTCTCCTGACAGTGGCCAATGTCAGGTGCCCCAGAGGGAATGAACAGAACAGGTAATCATCAAGTGATCCATCCCGTTGCGCATTCCCAGCTTCTGGCAAACAGAGGCTAGGGACACAATCCCTGCCCATTCTGGCTAAGAGCCATTGATGGACCTATCCTCTATGAAATTATCTAGATCTTTTTTAAACCCTGTTAGTATCTTGGCCTTCACAACATCCTCTGGCAAAGATTTCAACAGGTTGACTGTGCATTGTTTATCTGTCTTGTGTATTTAGCCTGTAAAGCCTTTCTGGCAGGGACTGTCTCTTATGTACCTAGCACAATGGGGCCTTGGATGTCAGCTGGGGCATCGATACTACCATAATATAAATAATACAAAAATCAAACAGCTTTCTGGACCCAACTGCCACAGCGAGCTCACAGACATTACCTTGCTCCAGAAAAAGAGAAGGGCTGCATGGAATTTTGGAGTGTAACTGTTCACCCTCTGCACCATTGACTAACCAGCCTTTTTCTGTGGGAATACGGACCTTACCCCAAACCACACGTGTCTTTTGGCTGCCTTCAGTGACCTTTGGCTCAAGCCCTGATACTTTCCCCATTATTCACCTTACCGATGCATATCTAAATTGGTGAGTAATCAGTAAAAATCAATGGCCAGAACCCCTGTGTTTTGCAGAATGTGCAGATCTGGTTGCACGGGGCCACAAATAAACTGCCAAGGCATAACACAGGCAGGTCTGTTGGGGGAGAGGCACAAAATACATTTATTTAAAGAAATGCCCGAGGCCTAATATTTTGTTGAAACCTAAAAGGAATATGGAAACTCCCACACTGGGTAAGAGCAGTGGTTCATCTAGGGCTCAATCCTGCATCATTGAAGCCAATGGGAGTGTTGCCATTGATTTCAGTGGGAGCAGGAGCAGGCCCTAAGTCCACTTTCTGTCTCTAGCAGAGGCCTCTACCCAATGCCTGAATAAGGTGAGAAACACCAAAGTGGACAGTTTGGGAATAACTTACTCCCGGGGGCGGGGGGCAGGGAGTTTCTTCCCAGTCCCCTCGATTACATTGGTTTATACCTTGGAGCATGAAGTGTTTTAGCCTTTTCAAACGTTAGGTGCTTAAAAAAACAACCAACCAAAAACCAATAGGGTATGTGACTGTGGGGTGCTTTGTTAGTCAGAGAAATGGCCAGTTGATAACTCCAGCTAAGCAACACCACACCGATCTCTTGTGACAATGAGTTCCACAGACTAATCATAAGTTGTGCAAAATTGTTTCCCTCTGTCACTTTTTTGATTTGCTGCCTTTCAGTTTTTAATCAAATGTCCCCTTATTCTTGTATTTCAAGAGGGTAAATCGGAGCACCCTGACATACCTCTTCTTTACCATTCATTGTTTGTGCACCTCCTGCTATGTCCCTCCTTATCTGTCCCCTCTTTAAACAATCCCAATCGTTTCATATGGAAGGCTTTCCATGCTGCTGATTAGTTTCGTTCCCCATCTTGGAATGTAATTGGAATCTATTCTGCTCTATCTTGTTTTTACGGTGGGGTGGCCAGAGCTGACAACAGTGGGGATGAAGTAGTGATTTATAGCTCAGCATTACAATATTTCTAATATTATTCTCCATCCCAGTCCTTAACATTGTATTGTTTGACTGCCAAGGCAATGCAATGTCAGACCCAGCATTTCTGTACAACCACTCTAAGCTCTGGTTAGTTTATGTGCATATGTATTTGTTTTCAAGTAAAGCACATCACAAGCTTGCAGTTGTGGTTTTCTGAATAAATTTATTCTGCGATGCTTGAAAAAGGGATATTTACAATGGGGACACAAATGATCTTCCTACCAAACAGGGCAGATTTCATGCCATCACGGTAACCAGAAACCAGTTTGCTTTTGGCATTTTCTGCTGATCAGCAGCAATGCATTATCTCCCAATCATAATATCCAGCCCAAGGTGTACCATGAGTAAGAGACAAGGCAACTTCTAAATAGCTTGCCAGCAGCTGATATGGAGCAGGAATGCAGTGTCCCAACACTAAAGGGTTATACTGACATTACAGTGGCTGGTGTGCCATAAATGCTATAGATCAGACAGAACAGAGCTGCTGACACTTCTTCAAAGTGAGGAGCACATTTTATATACGGAGTGTCTGGTGGATGGTTTTCCATTCTATTCACAATCACCTGGGGCACCTCCCCTCTTGTTTGTCCTCAGGGGGGACTCTTCCCCTCCTAACTATGATCCCCGTGGAAGCTACAAGAATTGCTCATAAGGAAAAGTAACACCGAGGAAGTATTTAAAGTGCTTTTAGCAGGTCTTTCAATAACATTTAGCAAATGGAAATGGAGAGGAGGTGCCAGCACCATGTAACCCGCCAGCTCTCAGCAGACCACAATGTGGGATTATCCAATCTAGATTAGACAAATTAGTATCAGGTTAGTGAAGCTCACAAATCAGTGTCACAAGGCTTTGTTTTATATACCTCTATTTATTTACAGAGTTCACAAGAGAAAATGACGTGTTCTACCAAACCCACAAACTAGCAACTATTCTTTGTTCTGTTGTTAATTTAACATTTTGAAGGGCAAAAAATCCAGCCTGGCAGGGGTGAGAAGTTGCTGCAAGGCAAAGGCTGTATGTGTATGGCACGCCATGAGCTAACTGGCTCCTCTGCCCCGTGGCCTTTACTCTAACCAGCCAGTGCTCCCTTTCGTTAAACTAAGGGTTTTGTCCGAGAATTTTAACGCCTGGGAAGGGTCAAACACTGCTTTCTGGGGGCGTCTATGCTGGAATTTTTTAGTCATGTTTTAACATGTCCACTCGTACCATTGTAAACATTAGTGTAGACAGGACACACATGTTACTACACTAAGGATACACAACCACGGTAGTTAACATGGGTTAACTAACGTGTTAAAACACAAGTAAAATTAAAGTGTAGCCATGTGATCAATTATGCTGATGTGAATGCAGCTTAACTCCATTGGTTTCAATCGAGTTGTTCCTGATTTACATCAATGTAGCTGAAAGAAGAATTTGGCTCTTCATGTATGAGCAATATGCTTTGACTCTCCGTAGATAACGATACTTTGTCTTCCTACAGCTCTGCCTGACACCACCACATTCCTCACTAAATCATCTCGTTTTAGTCTGGGTTTAAATTTGTGGTCTCGGTCACAACTAGAAAGTTAACCTAATGTGAGCTAATTATTGCATATATTTAATAAGGAACAACACTGCTATTAAAATTATTACAGAGGATTGGTCCATATTATATAAATTAGAGACCATTAAATTGTACAGGTCATATGTAAGGGACTGATCCTGGAAACAAGCATGCACATGAGCAACTTTACTTGGGGGGAGCTTGGTGACGCTATTCATGTGAGTAAAATTACTCATGTTTGCACAATTAGACCCTAAAATCTTAAACTCCAATCTTGCAGGACACTCATATAGATGGACCCCTGCACCTGCACAGACCTCTTTGCAGTTGGGCCTAGGGGTTACAGTGGATGGGAAGCTGGATATGAGTCAACAGTGTGCCCTTGTTGCCAAGAAGGCTAACGGCATTTTGGGCTGTATAAGTAGGGGCATTGCCAGCAGATCGAGGGACGTGATCATTCCCCTCTATTCGACATTGGTGGGGCCTCATCTGGAGTACTGTGTCCAGTTTTGGGCCCCACACTACAAGAGGGATGTGGGAAAATTGGAAAGAGTCCACTGGAGGGCAACAAAAATGTTTAGGGGGCTGGAGCACATGACTTATGAGGCGAGGCTGAGGGAACTGGGATTGTTTAGTCTGCAGGAGAGAAGAACGAGGGGGGATTTGATAGCTGCTTTCAACTACCTGAAAGGGGGTTCCAAAGAGGATGGATCGAGACTGTTCTCAATGGTACCAGATGACAGAACAAGGACCAATGGTCTCAATGTGCAGTGGGTGAGGTTTAGGTTGGATATTAGGAAAAACTTTTTCACTAGGAGGGTGGTGAAGCACTGGAATGGGTTACCTAGGGAGGTGGTGGAATCTCCTTTCTTAGAGGTTTTTAAGGTCAGGCTTGACAAAGCCCTGGCTGGGATGATTTAGTTGGGAATTGGTCCTTCTTTGAGCAGGGGATTGGACTAGATGACCTCCTGAGGTCCCTTCCAACCCTGATATTCTATGATTCTTATAGTTTGTAAGATCTTGTTAATGAGAAATCAATTTCAAAAGGGCAAAGGCGCTCTTGGAGGTTCCTTGGCTAGCAAACCCAAACAGAACAACCTCAATATTTGGCACTGTCTCTCACACACTTTTACATAGCAATTTTTACTGATTGACATGTAATAAGTTAACAATGGGGTTTCTAGGTAATTGACGTCACCTTGCCCTTTGCTATTTTGTTGCCTTTCACTAGTTCTATGCCAGTCTCACAGTTCTAAGTTGCCTATTCATTTTCTCTGTTAACAGAACAATACAAGTATTAAGAAAAAATACAAAGAATTATAAAACTCCACAAATAGCAAAACAAAAATCTAGTCTTTTATGACTATACTGCTAGAATTAACTGCCCTTCCTTTATAGATTATCTCTCTAGAAGTCCATCCGTGAAGCAGTCTCAGAAGGGGGTTATGTACTCTTTTTTTATGCTAGTGCTGGTCTCAGTGTAGCCACCAGTATCTCGGGTAGCACTGAAAGCCCTTTCTCCAGATCTGCGTGGGAGCAGGAGTTTGTAGACAGCTGCCCTGTATTTCTTTGAAATGAGGTTGTAGAGGATTGGGTTGATGGATGCGCTCAGATAGAAAAGCTGCAAAGCGAATATATTAAAGTACTGGGAGAAAAGCATCATGCTGGTATCCTGAGTGTTTATAAATATGATCCTGCCCACATGGAATGGCAACCAGCAAATTATAAACGCCAGAACCACCACAGCTGTAAGACAAAACAACACACACAAAATAGTTAAGGGTCAGGATTCAGACTCATTAAACCACTAACATTCTGAACGTCTAGGTACCAAAACATATAATATATTATAAGTCTGATTCTGCTCTCATTACTTCCTCTTCTTACACTAATGTAGATCAGGAGAAACACCAGTTAAGTAATGAAGTTATATTGGTGTAAGAAAATGGGAACAGCATCACATCCATTAACTACTTTTCAGAACAAAATAAGGTAATTGGGAATCTCTCCAGCAAAATTCCTAGAGATTATTTAAACGGGGAAAAGTACATACTTTAGTGAATATGAAATTGTAAACTATTGTATCTTCCCTGTAATAGCAAACACAATAAAAATGAATTTATGTAACATTTTCAACTTCATTTATATAGTATGAAAACTAAGAGGAAAACCAGAATGAGGAGAGTTTTTGTAAAAGTGCACAGCAAATCTATTCTTGTCATCAATTTATTCTTTAACATTGATATGTTGAAAAGGGCTGTACTGTTATGCCTGTTGTAACACACTGTATAGTTAATGTGTTCTCTCTACTGGGCTCTTACTGTAATCTACCGTGTGCATTATTTTTAATTATTTCTATTTACAAGTTCAGGAAACACATACAATTCCTTTGTATTACTTGTGACTTTTCAAAAGATAACAACATATGGCTAGTCAATTATAGAAAAAGTTTAATGGTCCAAATTCATCCCTTGCATAATTCCACTAGTTTCAAAGGAATAACCAAGGATCAGTTTGACCCATATGTCAAAAGACACTATCAACTTGAAATTCACATTTCTGTCAGAAAACTTGGTCCTACTCTAGTTAAAAGAAATATCTAAGTTTACTACACCTGAAAGAAGTTCGCAAACACCTATTTTTCTCTAGTGGTTTTAATTTCTTTGCTTTGTGCAACTGACAGCGCTCTGTATGTAGTCAGTTTCTCTCTTGTTGAAAGAGCTTTACATATGGCAACAGAGGCAGAAAAACCTTCTGAAAAACATTGGCCCCATAATGTATAAATGATGCTCAATCAACAACTGGAATCTTTTAAAATTAGCCAATATATTACAAAAATTAACACTGGCAATGTTAATTCAACTCTATAGCTGTTAAGAACCTAAAACTAACTGTGTCAATGCATGTAAATAACTGAATTGTTTAACAAGATCTTGTTAATGAGAAATCAATTTCAAAAGGGCAAAGTCTAAAATCTATTGTATACATTTTTCTCTAAGCACTTATATCACAGTTATCACAGAGTATTTTAGTATCTCCTCTGCTTGCAAATAAATGTTATGCATTCCTGCAAGCATGGCTTTGTGGTCTAATCAATATTTTCTAAATACATAGACAGCTGGGAGCCACATGTTCAAATACTGGCAGGGTCCGTTCAGCCCTTTGTATTTCTCATGTAGCTGTCTGATACAAAATCGGTGCGTTAGTTGAAGCCTTAGAAGTTAAGGAATATCACCATTGACTTCAATGGAGCCAGGGTTTCATCACAAGTCTTCTTTGCTGCATGGGCCCATCATGATTTGTTAGCCCTTTTCATAAACATGCACCTGACCCCAAATTCTCCATTCCTTTGCTGCCATCCTGGTTATCCACCTCTGAAACGGCTGAATTTCAGTGGTGCTACATAAATAAAGTTAGTGAAGTTAGTTAGCTGTTAGGAAGTATTTTAGGTAGTAGATATCCCAAATATTATTTAAAATTCAATATTATAACTAAGTGCATTTGGGGGGTGGCCCCTCCAAAGCAGTGCTGACGACTACGGTGCACTCAAATGTATGAAAGCAAGATTTAGCAAGTACACCAGAAAAATCTGCTAACAGGGAAACCTATTAGGCAAGGGAAAAAATCTCCACAGGGAAGAGGCAGAAGCCTCATTATTAGAGTAATTTTAAACTGGACAAAGCTTTGGAGAGAGCATGAACCTCACCTACTGCTAGACATTGGCCGAGTACATCTATAGGGACCAGTGGTGGCTTGCTGAGGTCAGAGGTCACCAGGCCCTACACTGAGCAGTTTGACCTAAGGGATTTTTCCACCTCTGATGTCCCTGCTCTCAGAGACATCCCTGCTGAAATCGGTGGGGTGCAGACACTGGCCGAATTGTGCCCTATGAGGTTCTCAGTCCTTTTCACTCTGCAGTTCACCCTGGAGCCACCCTGCAGAAGTGGGCTGTGGGGAGGGTGCCAGGTTGCCTTCGTCTGTACACGGCTGATTGAGCCCAGCCTAGGGGGAGCTGGGCGGTACCTGGGGATGGAGTGAGGGAAGGGGCTGATTCCCTGGAACTCACCCAGGATCCTGATGGTCTGTCTGTGCCCCTTCTCCCTGAGGGCTGCGTTGGGGCCCTGGGGCCGGACCTTGCTCCTCCACAGCGCCCTGCCGATGAGGCCGTAGAGCACGTTGAGGCAGAGGACAGGCAGGATGAAGTAACTGGTGGTGACCCACAACATGATGCCCAGCAGGCCGGACTCGGTGGCCAGCGGTGTGAGCCGGCACTCGCGGCTGAAGTCGGTCTGGTTGTCCCGCTGCTCCACGCCCACCAGGAAGAAGAAGGGCCCAGCCGAGAGCAGGGCGAAGGCCCACAGGGCCCCGATCACCGCTTTGACCCGGCGCTTGGTGATCACCACCTTGGCCTTGAGCGGGAAGCAGATGGCCAGGTAGCGCTCCACGGTGAGCGCCGTGATGTGCAGGATGGTGCAGTAGGTGCAGGCCTCGCTCAGGTAGTAGGAGAGGCGGCAGAGCAGCTGGCCGAAGATCCAGGGCCGGGAGCGCCAGAGGCGGTAGAGGTCGAAGGGCAGCCCCAGCAGGATGAGCAGGTCGGACACGGCCATGCTGCCCAGGTACAGGTTGGTGGTGGTCTTCAGCTCCCGGCAGCGCCGCAGGATCAGCACGGTCAGCACGTTCCCCGCCACCCCCACCACGAAGAGGCCGAGGCACACGGCGGTGACCGGGATGAGCGCGGGCAGCGGCAGGGAGCTGCAGAGGCGCTCGTCGCACGGGGACCCCGCCCACGCCTCGCCCTCCACCCTCAGCGCGCTGCCGTTCTCGCAGCCGCCCCCCATGGCGCCGGCCGCTGCGGCTAAGCCCGGGGCTGGGGCTGGGGCTGGGGCTGGGGCTCGGGGGCGCTGCCCGGAGGAGCTGGGAGAGAGGCGCCCTGGCCGCAGCCCATGGTGGGCAGCGAGCGCCCCGCTGCCAGGGCTGGGCCCCGCTCCGGCGAGGCAGGGGCAGCAGGAGCCTCCGCTCGGACTGTTCCTCTGCGGCCGGGGGCAGAGCTAGGAGCTGCCGCCGCTCCGAGGCGTGGGTCGGGCTGAGCTCGGCGCCACTGTCCCGTCCGCTCCCCGCGGAGCTTATATGGCTCCTGCTTCAGAGCGGACGTTTTTCAAAGTCTAATCTAATGACTGGCCCCAGCACATCGGAAGCCCATTTCTCACTGCTGGGAAGTGACCGCGAAAGCCAGGACAGCCCCAAGCGTGCACCTGTCGCCAGCAGTTTTTGCTTTGAAGAGCTCCGTCGAGTCAGGAATCAGCGCCCCGCCTGGGCTTAAGCGGGAAAGTACTAGTCAGCCCTGGGCAGTTGTGCTTTAAAAACCGAACTGAACCCTGGCTTTTAAGGTAGAGTTTTTCGTTCTTTCTTTTAAACTCAGCATGAATTGAACATCACGTTCCAACAAATCTCAAAACAAACCGAGTGGAAACCACTGATTTTCTCCTGCTTTCAGCCAAAACCTCGAATTTTGGATGCGGTCACAATGTTGCGCTGGTATAGACACAACTTCATTTTAGAATCTGAAATATCCGGTTAAAAGTTGCAGTCCCTGCTTTGACCTTACTCTCACAAAATTCCCTGTGGAAGTTTTGCCTAAACAGGGGCTGCAGTTCCCTATGACAAAAATAGATTTAAAAGAGCTTGTATGAATGGATCATGTGGAAAAATAGATAATTTTCTGCTGGGCAAGAATTAGCTTTTTGTACTGTAACGGCTATTTTAAATCACTGCTTCTTAGTCTTCTTGCACTAACTTCTTGTACTGCATAAAGTAGGCTACATGCAATATTTAGGAACTATGGAATATTGTTCAATGAAATTGTGATTTTCAAATCAGCGTTTACATTTAATACCCATTCCTTGCTTCACTAACAAAACAATATGGTTATGAAAGCACTAAGGAAAAATAATTTACAGGAGAGCAAAGCTAAGTTTTAAGAAAGGCACTTAGTATAGCAATGAGGAATTTGCCTAATCTCCCTATCAGACTGATGTCTGAGACAGTGTCTGGTCACACTCATCTTGTCATAAAATAGACAGAATGCTTAAAACCTGGCAAAAGGAGGAGAATACTCTTTTACATGAATTGTTGTCTCATCAAAAACTATGTCTGTCTGCCAGAAAAGTGGGGAAGTCCAGGAATAGTTCAGTTATATCCAAAGATCAATTAACAAACATGGAAAAAGAATGATACTTTTATTTTCCACACATTTTAAAGATACTTTTGCTACATAGTTTGTGTATATTTCTATGAGATTATACATTTTTAATCTGTATGAAGTCCAACATTATACAAGTTTAAAGTGATATGTTTGGTACTGTATCTATAACGTTTTAAAAAGTTTAGAGTTTTTTTGGAATGTACAGTATATGAGGTAAAATTAAGATTACATTAAAAACCGTCTTCACTGCAGTAATCTGCACTGAGGTTCAAATGGCAAATACACTATTAAATGACATTTACTATCAAAAATAGGAGTTCATTTGAATTTTACTATGAAAAACATAAGCCACTGCAGTTTAACTGGAGTGACAAATCTTACCATTTTAGACATTCAACCATATAGAAATCTCTGGGCTATTACACTCAATCTCATTTGTACTGCCGAACATGGCACTTTAAGAAGGTTCTAGAAAATATCTGCTGTCACTGTATTTTGTGGGAAGATATTAGCCTCTACATAAAAGTGACAAATTTAAAATAAAATGTAAACATACAGTACATTTTAAAGACAGATCATTCTTACCACTTGAGGGCCAAGTTCTTATCCATTTCTTTTTTAAAACAAAACTCAACAACATTATTCTACAGCACAGATCATTGGACGTAGAAACAATTACAATACATGCCCGTTCTAATATAAGAGAAATTCTTCAGAGATCTTCAAAACACAAGACAGAGGTTCTTTTTATTATTATTTTAAGACTGACAGAAGTGCTTAATACCATTAAAATGCTAAATCCAACACAAGTAGAAGTCATTAGTGATCCACTATCTTGTAACTGAAATAAATTAAAGCTAATTACAAAATGGATAACAGATAATTGTAAGTGTGATGAGACAAGAATTTTTTTAAGATAGTTTCACTACAAGCTTTATGTAACTGGCAGTCATTGACATCTGGCAAGATGTTCCACGGGCTACTTGATAAAGTTAAGTCTGGTCATTCAAGAACTCACAAATGCAAGCTCACAAAACATCGATGAATTATGCAATTGCAAAGTGCTCTAATGCAACATTAACTACATGCAATCAACAATTTGGTACAGTATCCAAAGAGACATTACATTAAACGTTAGGTTCTCAGGAAAAAGAAGGTTGAAGTTTTCTGGTGCAAATTATTACAATCCCCCCTTCGCCCGATTTGGTGCCCCAAAGAACAAAGGCAGTGCTTCATTCCGGTGGCCACGGCAAGTGAATGTAGGGGTAACAGCAAAAATTATGGTTATCCAAGAAAATTTATACACATTATCAATAGAGGGCACATATATCTATATAAACAGCACCCAATCAAATAAAGGTCTTATTTCAAAAATGATTTTTAACTTACTTCTTTATAGTGTTAGATCAAAAAAGCTCTCTCTCTTCCATGTCTGTAGGAAGCTAAAGAGGCATTTTTATGAGTAAACATATCGGGGCCAAGATAAACCATTTGTGCAATATCTTTTTAGTCTTACAAAATGTATACTTGCAGTGGAAAACTCTACATTTCGATAAGAATCTTCTTTCATGCATTCACTTCCATCCAGTTTACTGCCTGAGAAAAGCCCCTTCTATTTTCATCATAATCCTGCTTCCCAAATAATTAAGAGAAATGAGGAGGTAGAAATACAGCGCTAGATTGCTTTCACAGCATCAGACTAACATTTTATACAGCACAAGTTTGTTAGTGTAACTTTTAAATACATTTTACTCATTTCCCCATCCCCCCCTTAAGGTACTAATCCTTAAAAATGTGGACCAGGTTACCATTATTACGCTCCTGCTTATTGGTCATAACCTTATAATGATACATTGCTTGCCTTATATAAAGTTTGTACTGCAAGAAGGCATGTTAAAGGAAATATTTCTGTGGCTTGCATTCTATAATCTGTGCCAGTGTCTACTTAATAAGCATTTTAAGTGGCTGAAAAGATGTGCTACAGTCCCAATGCTGATGCTAAATGCCTGTTTTTGTAAAAGCAAGAGAACAGAAATATTTTTAGAATATGAGAATGTAAAATGTAATGGGCAGCATTCTAAAAGAAAATGGTTTTTCTCACTTTATTACGAAGTACTGAATGATAAAGGCAATCAGAATGGAAAAGGTAGCAAAGAGCACAAGGATGACAGCAGCACACTGTTCATCACTTAGTGTCTGTTGTGTCCTTGAGATTTCCACAGTGTCTTTGTTGGTGCTGGTTGGTGGTTCAGTTCTCTGAGAGATGAATAGTACTGTGGTACTGTAGGGGCCTATCAGGTCCTGATGACCTACTGTTTCTTGGCACTGTCGAATGGCACACACACGAAAACGATATTCACAGTTCAGCTGGAGGCCTGAATACCGGAATGACCAGTCAGGCCCTTTATAAATCTGTCAAGAAAAAAAATAAAATAAAAATAAACAAAAACACTTCTAGCAAACAGGCACATTGTGTTTACTGTAAAAATTTAAACAAAATGTCATACCTATAGTTTAATACTGGGATCAGTAATCTTTGGCACGTGGCTCGCCAGGGTAAGCCCCCTGGCGGGCCGGTTTGTTTACCTGCCGCGTCCGCAGGTTCGGCCGATAGCGGCTCCCACTGGCCGCGGTTCGCCGTCCCAGGCCAATGGGGGTGGTGGGAAGCAGCGGCAGCCCCATTGGCCTGAGACGGCGAACCACTGCCAGTAGGAGTCGCGATCGGCCGAACCTGCGGATGCGGCAGGTAAACAAAGCAGCCTGGCCCGCCAGGGGGCTTACCCTGGCGAGCTGCGTGCCAAAGGTTGCCGATCCCTGGTTTAATATGTCTCTATGTTTACTGTTAAAGTTATTGTGAAAATAGCAAGTGCTACTTAATCACCTGTGTTTTCAATGACATTCTTCTAGCCATATAGGCAGAAAAAATTAACAAAGATTAATGGAAAAGAACTTTAATGCCTAATTAAATTTATTTTCAGTCTTTTGGTAAAATATGTAGCATTACAAACTCCACTAGATCATAACTTGCAAAGCACCAAATTTAGCTCCTGTAAGAAGCCTTCACTTTAAGTAAACATTTTAAGTGTCAAATTTGATGTAAATCTCATTGTCTCACAATGGGTTTCTAGGTGATTAATTAGATGTCAGATTGTACGCAGTGTTGTTGTAGCCGTGTCAGTTCCAGGATATTAGAGAGAAGAGGCAGGTGAGGTAATATCTTTTATTGGACCAACTTCTGTTGATGGATATTAGAGAGACAAGCTTTTGAGCTACTCGGAGCTCTTCCTCAGCTCTTCATTCACACTGTTCCTTAATCTGAGGAAGAAGAACTCCGAGTAGCTCAAAAGCTTGTCTCCCTAATAGCCACCAACAGAAGTTGGTCCAATAAAAGATACTACCTCACCCGCCTTGTCTCTAGATGTCAGATTACCATATTCATCAATTCTAACCAAATCCAACACATTTTTGCTATATTTAAGCTACGCTCTCTTAAAAAGACCACCATAAATTCTCCTAGCAAACTTTGGATCCAATAAAGAGCCTTGAATAGGGCTGGATTTGGGGGCAGGCGATTGCCCGGGGTGCCATTTTTGTTGTTATCATGAATAAATACAGATTTACAGATCCTAGCATGCATATTTATCGTCTTATATGTGAGGGCTAAATCATGCATCAGAGTTGTAAAATGGGCTACAAATGCAATAAAAAATAAGGTATTCAGAAGTTTAACAAATGGAGGGTGGGGACGCCGAAGACGGTCCTTGCCTGGGGCTCCATTTGGTCAAGGGCTGGCCCTGCCTTGAAAAGCCCTCTTTGTGATTCTTTTAACCTCACCAATTCAGTGGTCCCAACACGCTGTTAGTGTTCATTCACACTGTTCCTTAATCTATCTGTTGGGTGACTAGGCCCTATCTTTCACTGAACTCACTTCTTCTTCTACATTCTCAATGCCTGCCTCACTGAAAGCTGAGGCCCGGTCTCCTAAGGATCCATGTTTGTAGATCCATTTATGTCTGTGGAAGTCTCATTGAAGCCAATAAGACTCCTTGCAGGCATAATGGTCTGGGTGGGTGGATTCATATGCTGTGTGGATGCCCATCACAAACACAGCATATGCTAATTCCTCTCTTGAAATACTTTTATCCTTTTCTCTCCCATTATTCAATCTCATATTTAAGTGGAGTACTGGTAGTAGTAAACAAACATCAAATAATCCAAAACCTTTTCCTATAGTTGATTTCACAGTATTGAACATCGTCTAGCAAACAAATGCGTGCAACTACTAATTTGGTGGTGGAAGAAATAATCAAAACCTGTTTTCTAGATTTAGGTCTGGATGCTGTTGCTTATTTATCCTTATGGGGTTAATTTAGTTGCATAAATAAATGCTTTCTTTCAGAGGTTAATAAATCTAAATAACTCAATGTGACCCTGTTTTGCTTGTCTTGATGCAAAATTTGATTTAAAGATGTTTCATGAACTAATATAATTAATCAGATGTACAATCAAATTTCATATAGGTATAATATATTTTCAGAGGAAATACAGTACATTAGGTGTATGCTATCAAAGTAATAAACTTCTCAAACTGAATTTGCTTGAAGATTGTAGAAATAGTACATGAGAACTCTTTCTACTACTTGCTACATAAAGTGTTACAATAACCAACATTTCACAACACATTAAGGGCAGATCTTCTGGTCTGGTCCAGCTATACTGACAGCTGCCCTACTTTACAGCTGGCTGCCCATGGACCCAAGAGACCATTCTGACAGCCAGGGATTGCTAGAATGTATAGACACCTTGGAGACTCCCCTTCTTCCTAGACACAGTTCCCACACCAAGGGATGGGAGACAGGTTGTATAGGAAACCCTACAGCAGATCAATGCCACAAGAGGATTCCCCTACACAGAGGGCACCCTACACTAGAAGGTCTTAAGGCTGGCCATGTCTATACTACAAGGACTATAGTAGCAGAGCTACAGAGTGTAGCTCTGCTGGCATAACCCCAGAGTGTATGCACAGCCTATGGAAATGGAAGAGGTTTTTCTGTCGCTGTCACCCCTGAGTGCTGGTAGCTAAATTGATGGAAGCAGTCGTCCGTCAACCTAGCTGCATCTATGCCGGGGATTAGGTCTGCATAATTATGGTGCCAGGGGTGTGGATTATTGCACTCAGCTGTGTTTACCTAAAATTTAAGGGTAGATCAGACCGCTTTTTTGTATTGCTGTAGTAGCAAAAAGCAGCCTTAATGGACAAGAGAATCTGGTTCTAAGGCCATGTCTACACTTACCCGTAGATCAGCACTGCTGCAATTGAAGCAGCAGGTGTCGAGTTAGCGGGTCTAGTGAAGACACGCTAAATCAATGGATAACGTAGCTGAAGTCGAACTATCTTAGTTCGAACTTATCACGTGTCCACACGTGGCAGGCAGGCTCCCCCGTCGACTCCGCGTACTCCTCTCGCGGAGCAGGAGTACCAGTGTCGACGGTGAGCACTTCCGGGATCGATCCCAGAAGATTGATTGCTTACCGCCGGACCCGGAGGTAAGTATAGACGTACCCAAAAAACAGTCCAACTCTGTCTCTAGAGGCAATTACACAGCATTTAATGAATTCTACTAACATACTGAACGCTGCATTTGCAACTTTAAAGCTACAAAATCAATAAGTAAAATACGTAACACTACATTGTAGGTACTGATTTATGAGACTAGTAATGTGCATAATCTACCAAAACACAGGGCTAAACTTATTTAATTTGGGCCCATAATAAAATTACAGTATCTCAAAATTAATTGTGCTTCCTCTTTGGAAGGAAACCTGCTTGCTTAATAGTGTGAAACAGAGCTCACAAGTCTAATTATATGTCAATTTTCTGAGAGTTTATAGTGAAAGACATCAGAAGCTAAGGTGGTATTGTACATCCTCTGTTAAAAGCAGCCTATTTTGTTACTTGGCATCTCAAACTGCATATCTACATGGTAAAAACTGAAATTAACTGAAAACATTCTTAACTGTTTGGCACTGGTGGTTGCAGCATCCCCTATCACTGGGAAGGGAATGAACGGCAAGAAACTAATGATTGGAATGGGTTAGAGCAGCTTCCCGCAAGCCAACATTCCACTGTGTCTACACTGCCTATGGAATTCTTCTTGTTGGGCAGGGCCTGTCTGCTCTACTGTGCTTTCCATACACCACAGACAATACAGTGAAACTTTCTAGAATATAAACAGCTTTCCTTGAACAGTTCATGATGTGCAGTGAACATCGAGTTTGTTTACTCTTTCTTCATAAATCTTGCTTCCATTCCTTTAATTAATTTGTTTCCCTTTTCTCAATTTGTCCCATTTGTGGACATTTTCCTGACCCTCAGGTGCAAAGAACTGTACGTAGTATTCAAGATGACTCATCAGTACAATGCAGATTCATAGATTCAAAGGCCCAAAGGGACCACGGTGATCATCTAGTCTGATCTCCTGTATAACAGAGGCCATAGAACTTCCCCAAAATAATTCCCAGAGCAGATCTTATAGAAAAACATCCAATCTTAGTTTAAAAATTGTCAGTGATGGAGAATCTACCACAATTCTTGGTGAACTGTTCCAATGGTTAATTACCCTCACTGTTAAAAACGTACACCCCGTTTCCAGTCTGAAACTATAACATCCTTTTACTGAAGTCTTTTCCCTCTGTAAACATTTTAGAAGAAGAAACCTGGAGGATTAGCTTTTAACACAAAATCAGCATGGGTGATAAATATAATATTTGACCTGCACATTCTTTAATTGCAATTAACCTTCACCAATATACTTCACATAAATATATTATACTTTTTTAATGAACTATACCTGTTTGAATTCTGAATCTTTTCCCGCCATGACCTGAAGACTATAAATAATTGGATCACCTTTCATTGGTTGCAAAACCTCCCATGTGATTTCACAAGTGTGATCATTTACTCTCTCTATTCTTGGCGCTATTGGAAAAAAGCAAATACATTAGTTAACTGTGTACTGTCTCCAGTTAGTGGTTTTCACTAATTTGTAAACTGTAGCCTCTATGGTATTTTATTTTGTTTCTGAAACACAGAAACAAAAGATTTAAGTGCAAAGATATTTTTCTTATCCACTTCTCATGTTGACTAACACTACATAAATAAGGATGCTAGCACATTGCTTACATGTTTTGTTTCCTCCACAAGGAAGCAAGGACAATTATGATTCTCATGAATTAATATCATAAGAAAGGTAAGTTGCTATGAAGAAAGTAGTCTGAAAGAACTTTTATTGCAGAGAAGTGTTAAGTAATAAATGTAGATAAAGAATTGCAGTTTAAGATCAACTGACCGAGTCTGAACACAGGAATTGCCATACTCAACCATCAGAGAGTGGAAAGAACCAGATGCTTCAGAGGATAGCATAAGAACCCTGCAGCAGGCAGAGACAGGATAATTTGATACCTCCCCACCCACCAAATACAGAAAGAAGAATCTGTACAGTGAGTGAGGGCTGGGTGAGTCTGAGACTACGTGAGACACTATGGAAGAGACTGGGTGCCGGGTTGTATGTAGTAGTCATTTTATAAATTCCTCAACAATACAAGGGAAGGAAGGAGCAAGTGATGACATAGGAAGGGGCCTCAAATGAGTTGGTCTGCAGGTGTTCTGGATGGATCTGACCCAGCCCTGCAACCAGGACACCAAAAATGCTAGACTCCAAGAAACATTTCCAAAGGAATACTACTACAAATGCCTAGGCAAACTTATTTCTGATGTCACAGAAAGTTAAATCTTTACCCTAAGTGTATGGAAGGAGATGTGCAGTTTTGGTGATTTGTGTTCAAGCTTGACAAAAGGCTGTCAACCCTGCTTTAATTGAAAAATTACATGTCCCATTAAGTATGGAGCTGCTGATGATACCTTCATAATCTATATATTTTAATTCACCCATTATGGAGTCTCTGGATACCACAATGTATCGTGTTTGTTTAGAGCACTTTAAAGCGGAATTGTTTAAACCCCATAAAAATAATTAATTGAATAAAATATGATCACAAAGTCCTTTCTATTCAGTTGATTTTTAATTAAAAAAAAAACCCTTAACATGGATTTGGGACTTAAACTACTCAGCACTGCTCCTTAACTGCAAGCTTGTTTAAATTGACTAGGACTAGTAGTACTGATTTATTAAGTAGTGAGAAAAATGACATTACAGTTAAATGACAAGTGAAAATACAATGCTTACCTTTCAAGGCAGTTGGAACAGATTTGGGAGTCGTGAAAATGTACTCTTGAGAAAGTGGACCTTCACCAGCTTCATTACAAGCCTGAATACAAAATTTGTAGGATGTTGACTCAATGAGTCTTTGTACTTTGTATGTATGACATGGTCCTCTGTATAAGGATATAAATCTGAAAGTAGACATAGTGATTATGTAAACAGACTAAATAGATTCCAAAGTAGTCTGCATGATTTCTATTTTTGTTTTAAATTCACTCATCTTTTTTTTTAATTCCTGGAACTTAACGAGAAGCTCACAAATACTGATTTCCAAGTTAATTTATGATCTTTCAGTAATACAAAACAATGAGCTCACTTTTCAATAAGCAGTAACTGCTACTGGTCTTATTTCGTCTTGGAGTGGGAAAGGGGGAGAGCTCTGGATTAGTTTAGTATGTGGTGCTTTCATTATCATTGCTCCCCTATCATAAAAAGTGAGTGGGCCTGGATTTTAGCTACCTGCACCTCAGCAATACTCCTCACTAGCTCCAAGAAATGGTCCAGTCTCTGTGGTTCCCATTGCTCTTCCACATTTTTGCGGGGAAGATGTGCTGTGGAGCTAATGTCACATCTGTGTGGGAGGGATCTGTCACAGTTGCAACATACGTTGTTGCCCCACTCTGATGGGTTTTTCTAGATTGGCCACACTCTCTTGTGTCATGATGCTGGAGCAGGTTAGTTTCACTGGCCCATCTGTTTGCTTTTCAGTCTTGGGGGTTCTAATACATAGCACAGGTTTTGTCTCAGAGAGAGTGGAGAAGTTTTGTTACCATATTCTACTCCTGTTCATTTCTGAGTTGGGGTGCAGGCATGAATTACTTTTTGGGGCGATGGTGAATTCCCTGCTATGTGGATCTCCATTTCTGTTTCTCCCTATGTCGGGGCAGGTTCCATAATCTACCCTGTCCTACTTTTGTCCAGTTCTCAAGATATCATATGCTCATACTAGGGTAGTGTATGTGGTGCGGTGGTATTGTGTGTTTTGCTATCTAGGGAAAAGTGGTGCAAGTAAAAAATTAATGAATTTAAATCCTTAAGCTCCTCACCCTATAAAGAAAGCAGCAACAAGGTGAGAACTCACCCCTCATCCCCCAAGAGGCACATCAAATTAAAAGAATTAGATCAAACTTAATCAACATAAATACTTAACAAAACCATAGAAAACAGAAGAGCATGGTGGCACAAGCCATCTCATCTCCACATCAAGCTCCTCATGTTGAACCTTCACTATGAAAACTGTTCAGTTTTAATTTCTTGCACCCTCTAATGCTGAACATCAGAGTCTCCCATTTTCTTTCCAAGATAGACAACTTCTTAAATTCATTTTAAATTAAACCAAAGGTATGGTGTTTTCTTCCATTATGTCTTTCTGATACGTCCTTAATCCATTAAACAACACCATGTATAATGCAGAGCACATACAAAAGGAAGTGATATTAGTGCTAACCTTCCATTCTTATCTTCCATTTGAAGGTGATACTGAATGGAGTCAGTTAATGCTTTTGAAGTTCCCTCTCCCCATTTTAGCTTGAGAGTCTGAGAACTGTATACAGCACATTCCAGGCGAGGCGGATCAGGAGGGAGTGGCTTTGTTTTCAGTTTTATTGTGTGGCTGAAAGGACCTGCTCCAAGACTATTTAGGGCTTGAATTCGTATTCTAATAATTAAAAAGAAAAAAATTATCCATGTAAACATGAATACAGATTTAAAAGGGTAACTGATTAATTCCAGCACTCATATTCAAGAGTGTTACAGTAGAGAATAATAAGGTCATTGTACAGATACTACTTTTTATGATATATATGTCCCTTACCACTAAGAGCTGTTGGATTTAGTCATAAATATTAATGAATGTGCATTCATCTTGCAGTACTTTAAAACAATCTATTCTATTAAAAGTAAAGAATATTAACATAAGGGTCATCATATAATGACAGGAAATAAAAGTTCTAATGTTTGGGTCCTGGGACATCAAGTGATCCTAGTTCAGCACAAGAACTTATATTTATAGGAATTATATTAATAGAAAGCCATGATCTTCTGAATCCCTTCCAATTACTGCATATTTTCATTATACTAATAAATGAAGTAATAAGCAACAGATCAACATTCAGCTTTCTCTGATAATAAACATCCATGTTACGACCAGCCTTAAGAGAGTTGGGGTGGCCAGAGAGAAGTTCTGAGAGCCTCCTAGAACTGAACTAATTCATTAAAAATGAAAGGGAATATTTGGGCTGCCACCATTTTTTTCTCTTGCAGGGATGTTGCAGTGGTGCTGGTATCACTGGTAGCGGCACAGTTGGTCACTCCCAACAATGAATTATCAAGGGGTCCACAAGAAAAGAGGGAAAGAAAACAATAAATCAGAGGTCTAGCAGCTGTGAACTTTGCAGGCCATTGTGATTGCGGTAGGGACTAGGAATAATGTTGCAAACTTTCAATCTCAGGAACAGGTTTACAGTTTGAAGGTCTGTGACTCAACAAAGAAGATTAGAACCTTATTTTTACAAAACAAAAACAGAAAATAGCCCTGAGATTTAAAGAGCATAGAAATTGGGGGACACAGCTGCAGGCTTTATGGATTTCAAAGGTACCTTGATTAGACCAACACTTCATGACTCTAAGGCACCTTGTTTTCCATTAAAATATCATACATTAATGTCTGTGTGTTTTGAAAAAAATCAATGTTTGAGCAACTGCAAAAATTAAGGTCACAATTGCAAAATGCTGGGGTCCCTTTGTCTGCACATATTTCATTCCTTATATATCTATCACTATAGAACAGTTTAATTTTGAGTATGTTAATTTATTAGCACACTGTAGAACTGGCGACCACATATTTGAGTTTTGTTTATTTTCACAAAAAGCTGGCAGGGTTTATCAAATCTGTGATATAAAAGTACTTTTGTGTGTCTAAATGCAAAAATATCTTTGCAATGTCAATTTCCAGTTCTTCGGTAATATATATATTTTACAATTTCTCATAATGTGGCAGGCAGTAGTTCTTCAATTACTAATATAACAGTTTTAAAAGTAATAGTAACACAAAAAGAAGAACAGGAGTACTTGTGGCACCTTAGAGACTAACAAATTTATTAGAGCATAAGCTTT